ACTTTTAAATATCTGGGTAAAAACTTCTTCTTCTTTTTTCCACTGAACACAATACATTTTATTTTCAAGAAACACTATAAACATGACAGGCTAAATATTTTAAATAAATAATTGAATTATTTCTTGATGCAGGAATGTTCACCTTTCCCGGACACCTTTCCTGGATTAAGTTTGGAGCGGTGAGGTACGAGGATGTGCGCACATACACATAAGGAAAAAGAGAGAGCACGAGTTATTTCGCGCTTTGATATGAAAGGATACAGGCTACAGCGCGCCGGCGCCTTTGTGCGTGCAATTGAAGAGCAAGCGCTGCGAGCACAGTACCGTTTCCACGCTTGCGTGACTCGCGCCTAGCACCGATTGTGAAGAGGAGCACGCGTCGTTCTGCGACTGAATAAATGCACTTCTTCTCAAGAGAAAAAGTGACAGAAGCAGCAGTTGTGAGTAGGGTGGCCAACCCTAGCCCCGCCCCTGCGGTAAAAAATATTTAACGCGTTAAACTGAAAAAATTAATCGCCTGCGTTAACACGCTAATTTTGACACCACTAATATATAGTTGGTCCATTACCACCGCGGTGGTAAAAATCTGCCACCGTCACAGCCCTATTTGAGACTTTAGTCTTTGCAACTTCAGGGATCTTATCTATTCACGAACAGCTTGTAACACTCCAAAGAGAAAGGAGAACTTGAAATCGCATGATAAAATAGCTTCTCTTCCCTGCAAACGATACAATGAAGAATGAATGGTTGTTTAACTTAAAGGCAAAAACAAAACAAAAGATAAGCACTTATCCTTACAGAGAATGAGAAGTAACCATGGGAACGGATAGCGTATCCTGCTAATATGGCGGCGCCTTCCCGAAATGCAATGCGGAGTGAAAAGATCGTGACGTAACTCCTCATTCTCTATTAAATGTTACAAACCAAAAATCTTATTGGCAACTTAAGCTACAAGATCTAATACAATATAATGTAAAATTTAATACATTATACTATATTATATTAATAACATTATAATATAAATAGCAATTGTAATAATAATAATAATAATAATAATGCCTATTCAATATATATTTATTTTTATATATAGATCTTTTATATAAATAAAAATAACAACAATAACAGTCCATTAAAGGGATTGTTCACCCAAAATTGAAAATTACCCCATGATTTACTCTAGGAGTTTACGCCATGTCTACATCATCGGCCCGAACGGCGTTCTATTGTGAACTATATATATATATATATATATATACACAC